ACAAAATGTAAAATTGCAATTCACCGTAATTATTCTTTCTATGAAAGAAAAAAAAATGGGGTTACAGAGGGTTCAAATTGAAAATGTTTTGTTATGATGTTATTTTACTTGAAGTAAAAGTAGTTACACTTTTATTTGCATTTATTTCATAATTTTCATTCTTCTAATTCCATTTCGCAAGAAGGGTGATAGTCCTGTATTTCATTATTGAATTGATGTATTTATAACAGAATAGGATTTTTGAATTTTTGGATTAATTTTATTTTACATTACATTTTACATTGTGTGATTATATACCGTGTTATCAGGGGTTTGCTGTATTAAAATAATAATTTGGAAAATAGTAATTGTACATGGAAAAGCTGTACACAATAGAGCATAGGCAGATACGTTTATCAATTTACTTATTAAAAAGAAATTTCAAGGAATCAAAATAAAGAAATTTCCAGTTAAAATATAAATCAAGTAATTCGTAATTCAGTAACTACGTACTACATAGAAACTATTCAACATTCTCTTAACAAAAGTTGCAAAATAAACACGAATATTTCCCGAATATCATTCTCACAACGAGAGTTTAATGACATAATTGTCTATCAAAATCATCAGAAAGTTACATAAACCAAATCCATCCTATGCAAAGTGAAAGGTGCATAAATTACATAAGAAAAGTACTCTAGTTACGTTCAAGTAAAAATTGATCGAGAAAAGAAAAACACATTTCCCTATCGACGTATTCGTCGATACGTTAACGTACGAAAAATCCAACAGCTAAAACTGCAATCCATTTCGATATCCTCTGACGAATGACTAAAACACACTAAAAAATCGTCCCACCATAATTCATTATTCCCTAAGGAAACTCGTCACGATTCCACGAACCTGTATTCCTCAAATTCTAGTTTCCTCCGTTCTGCAAAATTTCCGACCACGGTGAATAAAAGCACCGAGAACAAGGTGGCGGCCGGTGTTTACAGGCCTGGGGCACAGATTCCACGAGTATTTCTCTAATAACGTGGAAAGTGCGAGCTGCGGAAGGCGGAAACGTTTCTCTACGGGGATTCAAGGGACGACCTTGTTACTGTTTACAGGTACGCACGGCTGACCTCGATAGGGCTTGCGCTCGTGTCTACGGAAGAATGAAAAGGAAACGAAGGAGCCGAAGAAAACGAGAACTCATGCGCGTCGAGGCTGCTGTTCGTGGTGTCGCGCGTTAGCGTAGCACGGCGTGAAGAGCGGCAAAGCGAGAGAGAGCAAGGGAGAGAGAGGGAAAGATAGAGAGTGAGAGAGAGAAAGAGATCAGACGGCGGAGCCACGAGTCGTCCCGTTAGCGTGACAGACAGACTGCTAAAAGGACGTGACACGAAAGGGAGGAAGAGATGACGGAAGAAAGAGCGACGGAAGGAGGAATCTAAAGGTAAGACGAAAATAAATTGGAACAGGAGGATACGGAGAAGGATCGCGGGAAGGTACGAAGCGAAGGAGGATGAGGAAACGGAGCGAGGCGACAAGGAAGACGCGACGGAAGAATCGTCACCGCGAGCGCGTGTGCAACAGGCGGTTTCTGAACAATTTATCTTGCCAGGTTTGCAGGTGTTCACCTCGCGTCCTTCGTGGCCTTGTTAACGGGTTTCCTCTTTCTCTAGTCCGATGAACTGTCCTTTTATCTTTCCACCACCGACGGCAACCTTTCTCTCTAGGAACACTGGGCGGGAAAAATAATAGGACGGCCGAAGGGGGTTTAAAATAGTCGGAGAGGAACTGGGGCCAGATTCGAGGAAGAGGAAGAGATATAGGACGAAGGAGGAGAGGAGAAACGGAGAAACGGTAGAGAGTGAAAGAGCGCGCGCGGCAGCGGCTCCGCGGTTAATAAGAGGAGAGAGACGTTAGTGACGGCGGAGTATCAGGGAGTGAGAGGAGAGCGCTGTAACGAGCGAACCGGCAAGAAAGAGGAAGGTACGGTAAGAGAGCTAAAGGAAGAGAAGAAGAAGAAGAAGAAGAAAGTCGAAGTTAAAGAGGTGTTACGGGAAAACGGGAGGAGAACGGGAGGGAGCGAGAGAGTGATCAAAGGAAAGGAAGGTAAGGAAAGCGGCGGAAAGGAACGGCAATAGGTAGACACAGGTAGAGACGAGTGGAAGGGAGAAAGAGGGAAGGAAAGAAGGAGAGAGAAAGGAAGCAGCGAAGCAGTACGAAAGAGGAAAATAGAAAAAGGGAGAAGGGGAGCAGGAGTGTGCGAGAAAGAGAAAGAGCGTGAGTAGGAGAAGGAGAAGTAGAAGGAGGAGTAGAAGGAGGAGGAAGAAAAAGAGAAAGAGTGAGGTGGGGCGGAGGGCGGTTTATAGGGAAGGAGAGAAAGAGAGATAAGAGAGTCGGTATAAGGGTGGAGGGGAGTAGCGCGAAAGAAGAGAGGGAGAAGAAGCGGCGCGTGGTGGTCGTAGTGGCGAGGTAGTGGATGAGAGCGAGCGAGCATCCAGATCTGTCGCGTGCTGTGTCGCTCTGGGATGGGACGGAATCGGGACGACACGGTACGAAGCGGAACGGGACGAGACGAGACGAAACGGGACGAAACGGGACGACGGCTACTACTACAACTACGAGGACGGGATGGGATGGATGCTGTGGGCCCGTGTGAGTAGCGAGTCGAGTCGATCTCCGCGTACTGGTATTGGTTTCACTCTCGGCTGCTGCCGGCCCGTGTGCTGGTGTGTCGATCTCTCTACGAGAGCGAACCGAGGAGCGTGCCCGAACCGAGCAGGAGAAGAGAACCGCGGCACTCGTTCAGTAGTTTCTCGGACGCCGCACCGGCACCATCCGACCTACCAGATAACCCCGTCGACTTACCGGACTACCCCTGACCTCCTAATAAAACCGACACGCAGCACAACATCGCGCGACATACACTGGATCGTTCGATTCGACGAATCGGCCATCGATACAACGACCACAGATCCCCGTTTTAATCGACCACCGAATCTGCCAACGTCGGTGTCTCATCGTCGTCATCATCTTCATCATCTGCATCATCATCATCATCATCATCATCATCATCATCATCATCATCATCATCATCATCATCATCATTATCATTATCATCATCATCATTATCATCATCATCATCATCATCGTCCTCATCGTCGTCTACGCCGGCGTATTTCGTTTCTCGACGTGCCGTGATCTGTAATTGAAATCGATCGTATCGATGGTGGAAAATCGCCGGGTCCCACGACGACGATCGCCACGAGGGATTTCACTTTGATCACAGAGCATCTCTCAATCGGATCGGTTGGCTATTACGTTAATCGGTTCACGCACGTACCGGTGGTGTGGTCCAAGTCCAGTGTCACATGCACGGAGGTCGTTAGCTATTTTTCTTTCTCTCTTCTCAATCCGTCCGTGTCGCACTTATCCGATTGTTTATCAGCAGGGCCGGTGGAAGGAAGGATCGCGCGGTGAATAGCGTGTCTCGCTAGGTGTTTTCTCGCGGTGTAACGAACGTCTGTGTGTGTGTGCGTGAGTGCGTGCATGTGTGTGTGTGTATTGTTTGTTTGTGTGCGTGCGTGCGTGTGTTGGTGGGGAACGCAACACGCACCGGCCGTGTTCTCCGCTGTACACAGCGTGCACCGGGGGCCCAGCTTTTACGAACTTAATTATACGCGTCGCGCCGATTCCGTAGAGTGGTGAAAAGAAGAATAAAGTAAAGTGGTGTGGCAGTGTGATATCTCCCCGCGAAAATATTCCGCAAAAGAACTGCGCGCGTGATTCGACCCTTGACGACTCCGGAAGGATACACTCTCCCACGGTTGGCGGGGGGGAGGGGGGCGGTCAGTCAGTGAAAGAGAAACGGTAATATAGACAAAGACAAGGAGAAAGAGAGGAGGTGGCGGTGCTTGGAAGAGAGGGAGGGAGAAAGAAAGAGAGAGAGAGAGAAACCCGTTAAGGCGGTACGAGTAACGTGTCGGTGGAAGTTCTTGCGATTGATAGAGGGACTAAGAGAGAGGGATAGAGCGAGGTCGACGAAGGTAATCGGTAGCATCAACCTGCGTACCTCGACAAAACCGATTAAAGACGAGCGAGCAACGATCCTTTCGCCTCCTTTGTCGCTAATTCACCGTCGTTGTAGCCTTTTCGTTCGGTTATCGTCTGGCTGGCCGATCTCTAGCCAGGATCATTCGCAGTGTAACGAGTACCCTCGGCGATATCGGGTACAGGAAGCCTCGACGATCCACTCGGTCATTTGTATTCAGGATCCATCGCACGTCGCCTCGATGCTACCTCGTAAACCAATTCCGTGGTTTCCTATCTTCGCGAACAAGCCGTTCTGACTGGCGCGCGTCACCGATCTTCTGCTACACATTCACCAGATACACCACCTTGATTCGTCCGTTCAGATTTCGAGTTAGCCGTGCTCTAAAACCGCTACCACGGCGGTCCGCAATAATGCGAGAGTATCGAAAACCCGGTACATGGACGATAACGGCGGATCAGCTGCTGCATCCTCACTCTTCGCCGAGAATCTTCCTCTAGCAGAGCTTGTGTCCGAGGCGAAAGTAACCGAGGATGAGGTGGACTTCCATCGTAGAACTGACTTGCCGCTCTTCTGACAGCCTTTACGACCGATCCAATCGTGTGCCATGGTTTTGATCCAGCTGGTCGAACGGCACATCAACGACAACCACACAACGACGACGACAACGACAACGACGACGACGATAAAAACGAACGAGCAGAAATTGGAAAATACAGACTGAGCAGAGATAGAAGACGAAGGAAGAGAAGTAGGAGAGGGAGAAGAAGAAGAGGAAGAAGAAGGAAGAAGAAGAAGAAGAAGAAGAGAAGGAGGAAGAGGGTAGAGAAAGGGGGGGTGGGGGGTAAAAACAGGTGAACGAGCAGCGAGAAGAAGAAACGAGAACAGAGAAAGTGAAAGAGATATTAAGATAAAAGCGTGGAAGAAGTGGCGTGTAGATAAGAAGGAGGGCTCGGAAAGGAGTGTGGATGAGACCGTCATGCCCGCTGAGATCGACACGGGCGGGCCAACGGTGCTGCACTGTGATTACCGTGCCGACTGCCCGATACCGATTGTAGCGTCAGCTTCCACCGAGTCTTCCTTGCGCCAAGAGAATAGAGTTGTTGGAACGTCCATCGTACGACGACTTCCGCGGATCGATGAAAACGAATCTCTCGATGACAGAGCCCTGAAGTCCCATCGTTGGTCCGGTTTCTCCTCTCGTCGAACCAGAGGCACGTCCGCGCGTTCCGGATTCAGAGGATTCCGTCGAACCAAGTCGTGTATCACGTTCAGCAACTTTCCTACTCACCAACAACCCGATGACGCGTTGTCGCGTACAATTCAGTGCGAGAGCTTGGATTATCATCAGAATGTTTCCCGTCCGGAACAACCGGAATCGCGACTTCACGACACGACCGTTGACCAATCGTCGATCGACCAAGATACAACGATAACACGGACACGATCGAGACGAACAGGGGAGAGTTCGTTGGACGAGTACCAGGGGAATCGAGGGCTTGACACGAGGATACCGGTCCCTTCGAGGAAACACGAAAACGGGACAGGTGATTATCGACAACGATACGGAGAGGAAGGAAGCTGGTGCTTTGAACGTAGTGAGCTGTCAACGACGGCTGGAAATTGGCCACGGTTTCACGTCGCGGACCGTGTCCGAATAGGGAAGGCAGCGTCGGCAGCAGCACGGTTCTCTAGTCAGTCGGGCGACCCTTTGAGTTCTGATCGGACAACATACGAGAAGCTCGTACCCACGAGCACGCTTCCGTCCTTGGCCGACGAAACGTGGAAAGAAGTGAACGCGACGAATTCCTGGGGTAGTGAGTCGCGGCGCGTTACCAAGGTTGTGCCGAGTACCAATCGGCAGACCGACTTTCCTCTGTTCGATCACGACGACTCCTTAACGAGGAGTAGTGGCCGCAGAACGAGGAAGAAAAGACGCGAGTGTTCTAACAACCGTTCCACGTATATTCAGTTAGCCTTACTGTTGTTCCTCGTCGCGTTCGGACAGTGTAGACTTCGTAAATCGAGTGTGTTTAACTGTAGTGCGAAACCAAGTACGACCGGGTTGAGTGTGTTGGCGATTGGCACGGTTATCAGTGCAGTGAGTGCCGCACCGGTTGATTTAATGGGTGACGCCGGCGTGAGGGCAGAACGATCGGCCAATTTGTCCCACATCACCGGCGCTTCCAGGAAAATCCAGATGTACATCAAGAATCGACATCTACAAATACTGCCGGATGGCACAGTGAACGGTTCCAATGACGACACTTCAGATTACAGTGAGTACAGCGAATCAATTTCTTTTTCTAATCACCTCGTAAATCATTCACCGATACCACACGCATCGCTTCTCCAAATTGGAAACGTTCGATCCGTTCATACTTTTACCGGATCGTTTTATATACATATACATACATGTAGCATATCGTACATCCGCATACCGCGGCTGAACGTTTCATCGAAGATCGATGAAACTTTGTCCGTTTTTCTTTCTTTCTATCATTTCCTAAGCCAAGGGAAACGCTTTTCTGAAATTGATACTGTGTTGCGGATAGAGAGTTAATCGTAAACGCCAGTTGGTACGGTTCCAATTGTACGCTGATGGAGGGCTGGTCTGATTCCATTCGCGATCGTTGACGTTGCTAAACTTTTCATTTAGCCTTATATTGAATCATTACTTTAGAATACAAATTCCATTTTTACGGTTGATAATTGACATTTAACCGTATCGTTAATTTTCAATGCAATAAGATGTTTTTGTGTTGGTATTGATGGAAGATTTCGTGTTAAAGTAGTAAAAAATAGTATAAGTTTGATAGGTATCAAGAATTTTCACTTGTTCGTACAGTAGGTACGAATAATTTTGGAAAAGATAACATGGAACATTTAAGATGATTCTATTTTTAAAAAGGTACTTACTTTCTAACGACATTTTTATACTTTCACCTTCGTTGCTTAATTCTTAATTTAGCTAGTGATTTATGAGGGTGAATTGAATAATTTCGTGAAATACTCGAATCGACGTGTTATTTTACACTCTTTAGATTAAGTTTGTCTATTTGGACGTGACCTATTCTGTTCAGGTAATTCGTTTCCAATCGACGTCAATTCTCCAGCAAACCCTTCGATTCGGTATTCAGAGGTATTAGATTTCCTACGGTCCAACGTGCCTTGATCGGTGACGTTGACCTTATTTCGAGATTCCACTCGAACATTCGATAGTCGAAGATCTCGATTGTGCATTCTAAACGAATCGAAACTTGGAATTCCGACATTCCCTGCGCTGCAGGGGAAGATAAGCATGCTAACAAATTTGGTAGTCCTGCACGCTTTTGGTCGTAGGGCTTTTAGTGGAATCGTTGGATGCAGAAGTTGCGAACTTAGGTCGAGATAAGTTATCGTGCATTGAATAGAGTCAAACATGATTGTTCATTTTAACCTTTGTCAAAATGTGTTAGAAAGTTTAACAATTTTATATATATTTTAACTGTTCTTGGGAAAAAATTGTTGAGATAAATATTGAAACTCGTATAGCAAAAGCGCAATTTGTTGTGAATATATGAATTAAATGTATCAAACTTTTTAAGAAAAAAAAAGATAATTTAACAGGTGTAAGTAAGGTAATAGGAATATAAAGATCGATCCTTAACTGCCTTCAAATTTATCGGTCAAGAAAATCAATTTTAAAATACATTTTCAAGTACACAGATTATTAAAATATTTCAATATTTATTTGACGTTCTATAATCGTTATTTTACACCTTACCAGTGCACCTTAGTTTTACTCGCTTTTCAACTGTTTAATTAAAGTCTAATTGTGAAATCTGAAAGTGCTTGTTGCTCGTCGTTATTTATTTTCAAAATGAGGCAAGTAAGAGTTGATCAATAAAGGCAAATGGTGCTATGTACACTACCGCCTATATGTATTTAGACACTTTCACATTATCGAATCGGTATGAAATATACTTCAATTAAAACTTTTCGATGTAATTTCGACCGCTCTTTTCATCTCACCTCGAGTAGTCAGGATTACACTTAACGTCAATTTGCATAAATAATTCAAGCTGGAAGAAAAATATTTAATACGGAGACACTTGAGTTGACACTTTAAATGTTTCTACCCAGCAATTGTTTATTGTCAGGGTTTTCAGGCGATTGAAATTAACGATCGATTTCACTTACAAAATTAATGTTATCGCGAAATTAGTACTGTAATACAATTAATTTCGCGTAAAAGAAAGCGAAATATCCGAAAACGCGTTGCACTGTAGTGCAGTATCAACGAAAAATCGTGCGGATAAGAAAGTGTTTGTCTTGCGATCGGAATCGAATCGGCGAAATTAACGAGAGAATGCGATCAGGTCTGGTGTGACTGGGCTGAGAGAGCTGATCCAAGAATATGCGCTGCCTAGTACACGTACCTCTTCTTAAGTAGTCCACGCTAACCTTTGAAACTTCGATAGTCTGTCGTTGGTGACTCTAAATTCACGTCGACGGATCAAAGTTTCTTTTTTGAAACGGGGATGAGTGCCTAAACGCGTCTGTACTTCTTTCTGCATCTATCTGATCTTAATCTTCGTGAAACGGAGGACGTAAGTATACTTCTATTCGATTGGCTTCTTCCCAACAACTATTAACGCGAATCTGTGAAATTTTCGGTCGAAATCTGAATATTAAACTTTCATATTTCGTACCATTAAAAATAACGTAAACTTACTGTTTCACAATGCAAGAGTATTAAAAACGGACCCATCCAATTTTACTAGGAAAAAAAAAATATGAAAATGGATTAATATTACAGTATTCAAATATTCGATTACGTTGGTATAAAGGTGAAGTGGAAAATAATTGAAAGAATAATGATGGAGAACTATAGAGCCGGCGAAACACTGTTTCTATATTATTCCTGGCCTTATTCCCGATAATTGTAGCGGTACCCTTTCACGAAACACTTGCTTAACTTTCCTAACGACGGAACGAAAGCTGCGTACTTCAATTTCCTCTCGTTGAGGATTTACGTAAGACCACGAGAATAACGGAATTTGAGTGACACTCGTATGTCTTGTACAATGCTTTTATACCGTTTAATTATAAACTGGTAAGGGTAAAAATAGCTCTCTCTATTCGTCTACCGTTTAATCGTGTAAAATGAAGATATTATGCAATTAAAACGTACAAGTCGGTACCTATTTCGGTTGAAAGGCTTGTATTATGTTTAGAGAGTTTATATGTAGATTTATAGGGGAGAAGGAGACTGATTTTTCAGTTAATTAGAATTCGCATTTCTTTGCTCGTTGTGGTTTGGGTAGAATAACATTGTGTCAATGATTTAATTGTGATTTGTATATATCTTGCCAAAATACTTCTAGCTTGCCAATAGACACCGCACGCCGCTCGACTCAGTGACTAACTATTCTATTTTCGACTCTCTTCCGGTGTTGTTTTTAACTCTTTTATATTTTGATTTACTTGTGCGTGTAACCGTTCTGTTACACTATGAACGATCAAACAAGATTTAAAGTACATCTCTTATTTGAATCTTTTGTTTCGACAACTTTTGTTACAACTTTCGTTCACGTTAGGCTTGTTGAATTGTAGTGCTTATCATGAGGTTTAGTATCACTGAAATTATAGCGTTCTTTTCGTTTCAATTTTTCAAACGTGGAACACAATATCTTATTCTAAATGCAACTGTGCTGTTTCAAATAATTGGTGTGATTGCTTAGTCGATTTACCGATTGGTAGTGTATTAAATAATACTAATAATACTAATAATAAATATAGTGGTAGGAAGATATTCTTTGTTTAACTTGCTATTTAAAAAAATTTGATCTGAGTTAAAAAACTCAGAAATGATTATTTCCCTAATTTTGACATATTCACTCAGCCATAGAAAATTTAAAGAAAAAGGCAATTCCATTATTACCAAATAACACTAAAACACAACATTTTAGTGTGAAGTTTGTCGTTTTCTTAACAGCTGAAATTGCCGGGTTGATATATTCAATTTTGTCCGATCGTAAATTTGTATACACAATAGACAAGAAGAAGAAATTCGTGTATTAAATAGCAAAAAAATTCATAATGACGTTCATGATTCATTTGGACGTTATTATTTGACGTGATGAATAATGGGAATACGCGCGTCAGTTTTTTGCACATGTTTAAATTTAGAAACAGTACGGTTAAACCTGTTGAAAATATAAATTTAGCATCTAAAGAAGGTTATGTAAGTGTTAGGACATTTCAACGTTGGTATGCAAAATTCGAAATTGGTGACTTTTCTTTGGAAATGAGACAAGAGGAAGGCCAAATAGGGCCGTTGATGATAACGTTTTAAGGGAAATGATTGAAAACATTAAGCTGGACTTTTCTCTACTTTTTCCCCACTTTCTACTTCTTCAAACATCTGAATAATTTTTTCAACAAATAAATTACATATTTTGAAACGAAGACACTGTAAACGTAGCGTTTAAAGAATTTTCGAATTCAAAGACTAATGATTTTTATATAGAATGGGCCATGTAAAACAGGCAATCTAATTACCTTCCCTAGCTATGATGATACGAGAAAATTTTTATACGTAATTTAAATGATTCAATACGATGTAAGAAAAATTTTTAAAAATTTTAGAGTCCGAGGTAATTTTCAGGTCATATTATCATACATATATACATTCATGCAAAGAAAAGAAAAAACAGATAACGACAAAAATAAAAAAAATTTATCTCCCATCTTATTCACCCTTTGAAACCATTTAAATTGTGCATCAAAATTTTCTCGTACCACCGTAGCTAGAGAAGATAATTAGGTGGCCTGTTTTACGCGACCAACCCTGTTCCTATATTTAGAATAACGAAACTAGTTAATCGTCGGGGAAAGTGTATAGAATCACGCAGAAATAATTTTAATTAAATACACCATCTTCGGAAAAAAACACAATGTATCTAAAGTTTCATTTCGAAAAGCCATTCTTCATTATACATAAACTTAATAACAGTGCTTAAGTAACTTTAAAACGTTACATAACTCGATTGCTCGATACTTTTTCTATACTTGAAAACTCGATTCCACCCTTCGAAACGGCCTATAAACATAGTTCCCTGACAGTTCTAATTAATTTCCATCGAACAGCTTTGAATTGTGTGAAAATCAAGGTTTCACATCGTGCGTTAATTGTCGTCTGCCAGGTTCTATCATGTAAATATTCTCAGCTACCAATTAACCAATGTGACTCTCGCGAAAACGCCGCGAAGCGTGTCCCGTTAATAAATATTTGCAGGTGAAAAATAAATCGTTACGAGAGGATGAGCCATGCAGCTCATAAATATTCATGTTTGCCTCTCGCGACCGATGACGCTCTCTCTCTCTCTCTCTCTCTCTCTCTCTCTTTCTTCCTAGGGAATTTCTCGCGTTTCGAGGCGATTTAATTGCGAGCGAAAAGTCGTTTTGCGGAATCACAGTTGCGTAACATAATAATTCTCGCGACGATTAAACCAAATCGATACGGTGCTAGTGGAAAGAATTCAACGTGGCCGCGTAATCTAAGCAGAACCAGAGCAGAATAGGACGAGTACGAAGTTGCGGGACCGTTTAACTACGCGTTCGGTGCTGCGATACATTTCCGTTCCATTTCCAATAATCTGCACCAGGCGCGTCAGTCTATTGCATTTTTCTTCGGCTTAGTCGCCTAGAACAACGCGCCAGTCTTTTCCGAATTGCACAGCCATTCGACAATGTCTCTGATTTCTTTTTTCTTTTTTTCTTTCCGCACGTCGAAGGTTGAGAACTTTCTCCAAACGCGACATGGAAAGTTAGGTTCGAATGGGTCTCTTCGTGGCGTGTAATTAAATTCAGCTGTGAATCAGGAAGGCGCATTGAAAAGTTCTCCTGGCCGAGAATTTTCTTCGGTTACGAGTATAGGTCGTTATGCGTATACATAGAATGCTTTTAAAAACAGGGTCTAAGGAGTGTAGGACAGAGGCTTGGTGGTCGGGAAAAAAATATAGATAAAAATCAATTCTGATGGAGATAAGGGGAGATAAACACGGGTATTTATGTACTTGTTTTGCCTTTCCGCGTCAGTTCAGTATTTTTCGTTTGAGTGTATACAGTACTATTTAAACGGTGGTATTTAGGTACTGGTTGCAAATCGAATAAACAAGTGAATGAAAACGACGTGGAATTCTTAGACATTCTACTCCTACGCTGTTACCGACGTTCGACAATAATTACAAGAATACGATGTCTGCAAATGACTTAATCGCGGGCCAATTATTCGAAGCGGTGCGGAAAGCAGAAAGAAAACGGCGCGCCGTGATTATCCAACGGATCGAGGGAAAAATCGATTTCATTGCCGTGAAGTTTGCTCCTTTAAGCTGTGAGAAACTGCTGAAACAAGAACGTTTCGACATTCTGTTAATTTATATCCCATTAATGAACTCTTTACTCAGTGATGTAATATCGTCGTAACAAAGATGTTCCATACGAAACGATTGTAATTTCGATTTTATTCGGAGAAAACGGACAGAGAACAAGTGGATTAAGAAATTTTGTGGAAAGAAAGAGATCTTTAATGTTCAAGGTTCCGCGTGAAATTCTTGAAAATCTCATTGTCAGTCGTTCAGAGATCTGGCAAGATTGTTTTAATTAAGATGTTGCTTTTCGAAGAGGAGAGAGAAAAGAGGAAAATCGTTGGTAAATCATTCGACATTAATCTTTCCAGTTCAAACAGCGATCCGGATGAATTGAATCCCGGAAGATTAATTATCGGGGAATTCATTTGGCGGAATCTCGTGCGAAGATTTGTTATTTTGTCTTCCGCAGGATGATCCCATGTAAATGAGTTTAATGGTATCGCGATCGAGCGCTCGCTGGCGGAAATGCCAATCTTGATGCCTCGAGCGAGTACTCCTTTTTTAACTTAAATGTTAATTGATTTGATGTATACTTACCTACAGATTCGAGTTACCTTTCTTTCTTTTTTTTTTTGTTTACCGAATGGTATCTTTGAGCAAAAAAAAACGTGCGCGTACGTGGTCTTGTTTTTTACGGAGACGGCGAAACATCTGCGGTAATCGTAGACTTCCGATTATTTTGTTGTTTCGAGCTGCAAATTTCTAGGCGACTGACGATAAGATTTTCAAGAATTTCACGTGCAAGCTTAAACACGTTGGCATCTCTTATTTACAGAATTTCTTGATCTACTTATTTTCTACCTTAAAGTATAATCAAAATTTCGATACTTTATAAACTCCATTTTTCAACTCACTTCGTTTAGCAAGTTCTTTTCGTTACTTTCTCACATTTTCTTCAGGTTTTTAACACTTTGCACTCCAATTGAAATTGTTCAAATGAAACTTTAACATATTTTTATTTTCTCGATTAATTTTTTATTTACACATTCTCTTTTTATTTTTCCCCAAGAAGAATTTTCACTATTTGCACCCTTAACTACATACCTATTTAAATATGTTTAGCCCACGCATTTCGAGACTGATTCCATTCAGTTCTGAACAGTTCTAAATCAACTCATTCACCCATAAAGCTCCACTTCCCTCTCTGCGATATTTGTTGCTCAAAACGTGGCTTAAAATAGTCACGTGTCGCTTCCTTGGAAATGCTCGTAATGATCGAAAGGGACAGCAGTAGCAGGCCTCATTGTGCTGTCGATCGTAATCTGTTGACCAGCCGAGACTTTCTCGGTCGTAAATCATCACCGAGACACGTGAACACGTTCAAATCTGACTGGCAATTTACCTATTCGCGGAATAAATTGTCCTCCGGAAGAAGGCCGATGTTCAATCGAATTTTTCTATTCGCAACGTGCGTGTGTTTGCGCGACCGTTGAGAGAGCAAAGACGAAAGAAGGAAGAAGAAAAACGGGAAGGCAGTGGCCGGGCAATGAATCAGTCGACGAGGGCCGGTGATAACGGAAGCTTTGAGGGGATCCAATGGCCCCGATACGTCGCTATCAGCTGGAGAGAACGTTGCATGATTAGGCAAAGACGGAACTACCCGGAGGGATCGCGAGGTCGTAACCTATATTGCCCTAGGGATGCTTACGAATTTCGTGGATAATCTCTGCTACTTGTACATTCGTGAACATTGTTTACATAAGCTGCTAGTGGAGTTCTATTTTTTTTTTTTTTTTTTTTTTTTTTTTTTTTTTTTTTTTTTTTTTTTTTTTTTCACTGGCGTGTTCGAATTTCTTCGAAGATCTTTCCTTTTGATTTTTAGTAGATTTTTGATGATGTTTTAAGAAGATTTTTAGGGAAAGGCTTACCTACACCCGAAAGCCTCAATATTAATAAATATGCTCTGGGCCGTGAAAGCCTTAAATCTTTGATTTATAATATTTCAAATTGCATATTGTTGGTATTTACATATTGAAAAATTTAAATTTTTGTGTCATTGTAAATTTCGTTTTTCACGTTTTTAAAAATTAGAATTTTGTTTTTATTTTTATTACGGACTTTACAATTTGTGGAAATTTTGACAGATGAACATTTCGTAAATTCTTTTAGTATTCAGCTTACTCAGCCAGCGAGATGTCATCTTACAATGGTTATCTGTTATTGTTATGATATGATTAGGTTAGTCGGTCGTTTTAGTTTTCCTTCGTACACTTCTGTAAAGTTAAAAGTGTGAAGCTTCTAAAGGTAACGTGCGAAATTATTATAAAATATCGTATTTTTATCTGGTAGTAGCGTAAAATGATAGCATAAATTGGAAAATATTCTGGAGGATTATTTAAAAAATCATAAGTATTGCATTTAATCAAAGTTTTTTTCTCATTATTAAACTGAAGTTAACATGCTTTCACTGAAGCAGAATGGTGTGAAAATTATACGAAACTAGTTTTATTCATTTCAAACTGGTTCATCTTTCACGTTAATGTCATTCACGTAAGCGTCTTTAGCGGAAATGTCTTTCAAGTAAAGTTAAGATACATTAAGAATACATTCTGCGATAAATGCTTCTGACGTGGCTCAATTACATTCGTAGTATGTAGCAAAGCATTAGCTCGTATACATGTATACGTATTACTTGTATACATTGTACTTGAATGACATGTTTTCGTCACAATTAACTGTAACTTTTTCTTAACATATTTCAGTCTTTTTGAATAATAAATTGGTCAATCACTATGGTTTACAGATATTTCAGAAAATACAGAATTAATAATTTAGCAATATTTTATAATATGTAAACAACGTTGTTTCAGTAAAATTTAAAAACACTAACAAACAAATAATTACTAATTCCTCTAAATACGAACGAAACAAAAATAGCAACGAAACAGTTTTCTTGAAAAGTAAAATAAAACTATTTATAAAATTTTCTACTTACACGAAAGATAAAGTTTATCCGAAAATGAACGATGCATACAACCATACGATAACAATTAAAGTTTCCAATTAATTCATTTATTCATTAGAGTTTCTTGGCAAACATAATTTCACGAATTCCAGAGTTTCTCATCCTGATACGTTTTACCTCGTGAAATACTTTCCCGATGTTATCGTTTTAATGGTACTTTTCTGGACTTCCAAATTGAGCTATCTCTCTCAAGTCGTGCATTCTATGCCTAATGATGCTTAATTTCGCGTAACTATTTACATACGCAGTAAGTTGGCCGCGATGTGAACGCTTACCGAACCTTATAAATACCATTAACTAAATGTCCGCGGAATATTTGCGTCTGCGTTATCCTGTGGCACGTCTCGCTACCTAATTGAATCGTAGCTTGAGCATCATTCCGTTAATTAACACCAAACGTCCAGCTGATAAATTGTTAATATTGTATCGGTCGTCGTTTGCAACTGCATTATGTCTTTGCTTGTATACAGGGTGTCACACCAATTCTATTTGTTTCAAATATTTCCACTATTTCAAGAAATAAGCGTAAATGTTGCTTACAGAAGTTATGCAGTTGCAAGGAATGCATACCTATGTAAGAGCCACTCAGAAGCCGAAGTGACTAACTCTGCGAAATAAAATTTATTAAATTTGTTTTACTTATGAAGAGTTAAGCATGAAGCATGTGCTTTGATACTGAAATTGGAAGAATATCAGAAAATGGAGTTAATCATTTTGGCTTCTGAGTGGCTCGTAACATAATGCCAATAGTTCCTTTGCAGGTAGAGGTGTAAGGAAGATCTGGAGGTCAATCTTTCTTTTTTTTTAATCATAAAACTCCTTAATTTAATTGTCATAATTAACATTTATTGAACATCTGATAGAAATGAGGTTTTATAATTTAAAACTATCTGTGAAAGAGTCGAGACAAATAAATTAGGCTGTTTCTAGACCCCTACAAAGCAGATAGGATATTCTAATTTTGCTTGAAAGGTGAAAAACATGAAATTTGAAATATTTCAAAACGTTCTGTTAAAAAAAGAAAATTAATCTCTAGATCTCCTGTACGCCTCCACCTGCAAAGAAACAATTATCACTGTGTTATTTATTTATTATTTATTATTTATATAATTTAATTTGTGTCATGCCTTTCTTACAATTGTGCAACTTTCATACGCGATGTTTTCGCTTATTTTTTGAAATAATGGAGATATTTGAGGTGTTTAGGACAGAGTTGGCGTGACACATTTTTGAAACATTTTCTGCGGATATATGAGAACTATTTAAAAATTACTTTTCCATTGCTTAGAATTAATTTCAATTCTGCACACTAAATATTATGACGAAAGTAGGATCCCTTATTTTAAATTCGTTAAATATATGAACATTTATGTAAACTACAGCAATGCACAGTAGGACCTTGTATAACGCGATCAAAAAAACAAAAACACATACAAATTCGGAATTTGCAATTTTGTAATTTTAGGTTAATTAAATTTGACCCAAAAAGCAATGTCCGTGAAACTTAATTTGTATTTCCCGCGTTATAGGGGGTCATAGAAGTTTCATAAATTATTTTACCTAAATTAACCCTTTGCACTCCTTTGTCGAGTGTGATTAGACATCAATTTTATTCACAGATACAAATCTCACTCGACATTTTTAAATTACCAGTTCAAATATATATTACATTTCCCAGTATATATTTTTATTTAAATAAACAACATTACACATATATAACTCTTTCTTATAACAAAAGAATCCGTTAACTGTTCAGATACACGATCGCAAATTATTTATATTGCTTCTTTCGTACCTACATTTCAAACGAAACGCTCAAAATAATGCGGAGTTATTGGCAAGAAAATGTAACAAAAATTGAAACCGAAAAACACGATACACCGTGCGTTTCCAACGAAACCTACTACATTATTCGTACAAGACGACGCTTTTTTATCTCTCGTCCTCCAGGTCCAGCCTATACACGAATATCTTCTTGTCTTTCTTTTTCGTTACGACGGGTGGCTAATTCAAGTGCAATAAAATTGCGAGTTGATCGACTCAGAATATATCGGATTGCGGTCGTGGAATTATCAAGAACGGTCGGAGATCATATTAAATATGATTTACGAAAGTACAAGATCGCGCGTGATACATGGAGATGATGCCGGTCCACGGGGTCGTGTCTTAGAAATGATAATTAATGGGAGTCGATGCGAGAGGACGGCGACGTTAAACTCGGTTAGTCGAACGGTGCGCGTCGCGTCGCGACGACAACGACGGAATCGCGAAAAGCACACGCGTCTAATCCCGTGGAATACTGAATTATGGCAGCCAAGTGTGAGAGGAGGTTGATGATGAGTGGGCCGAGTGGGTACACTATGCTATAGTGTTACGCGTTCTCGCAGATCTATTCAATTGCTCGAGACGCGTCTTATTTTCGTCCCCTTTCCGGCAACGGTTAGCGATTTTAAACGACTCTGAAAATTAAGTTAACGCTAAACTGCTGGAGCAGCCTCGTTCCCCTGACACGCGTATATACGTTAGCGTTAAGTATAATTGAAGATTTAGCGGCGAGACGTATGCTCGTTTCGGAAGCCTAATAGGGTGCCTCTATTAAATTTTCGAGCGGTTCGCTTGATTAATTATACACATAGTTAGCGAAATTTTTGCTTGAACTCGCGATGGAAGTGTGAAGGAATGTTGAAGTTTTTAAAAATTACAAAGGTATGAAGAAAATTGTTGTTTTTCAAATATTCGAACATTCCATTTCTATTCCAAGCATTTCCATCGCATAATCAAACAAGAATTTCGCGAAATGTGTCAATCAAGTTAACTCCTCCAATCAAAGCTTTTCAAACGAACACCGTTTCGCTGCAAAATCTTCCATTATGTTTAACGATAATGTATGGTATCAGAAAAATGAATTAATGATAGCAATGAGACGAGTTAATAGGTATAATAGGTGTAATTGTGAGTTAGTGTAATAGAAGACATCGGAAAGTTTTTTAGAAACTGAAAAATGGTTGTAGCGTTTTGGAATCACTGAATATTGCAAAATTTGATTTGATAAGAGGGTAGAAATCAAAATATTCGGAGAAATAGCTGGAAAAATAGAAATTCATGATTAACCATGTAGTTTGCATTTCTCATTGTTCCTTTCGAAAACGTACCGATAATTATGGGAGCTAATGGATGCTTGTTCAGAATATTCTCGGAAAGAGTTTCACACAGGTGAAGAAAAGGGTACGTGACGAGGCACGTTGGGTCATTAATTAGAAGGTGTGGCAAGATTTTCTGTATGCTCTTCAATTTTAGATCGTACAACAAACAATATAAGTTGTCAAGGAACTCGTTAAAAGGGCGATAATCTAAAGAACGTTATATTTGTATTTAACGTTAACTTCTTAAAAAGCCTATAATTTATCAATTGTGATTTAACGTGAGTCAAAAAAAATTAAATATTTCTTTTCATTCATTTTATAGTAATTTGCACGTTGCTGTGAACTAATCTCAGCGATTACTTTTTACTCTAAAAATGTTCGAATATTAAAAAATTGCAAACAAATCCTACTCTTTTATTTTTGATTGCAAAAACCTCTCTATTAGTTAAGTTTCTCCTTAAACGACATATGGTCAGCAATTTTTTGTAATCAAAGAAAGCATGTCAGCGATTACTTTCATCCCAAAAATATTCAAATATTCAAACATTACAAAATTTCCTTTTATTTTTCATTGCAAAATCTTCTCCGTTAGCTAAGTTCTTCTTTGTCCTACAAACAATTTCACAATGTAGTGCAAACTCCTACTTATCCAACATAAGGTATACATTTGAAGAAAAAAAAAGAAAAACAATTTTCCAATCTTTCAAAATATTCCAAGTAGCGATGCTTCCGATATCTGCCGCGGCAACTTCTTCGTTGCACAGAATCGGGATTGGAAGTACGCGTGATTTAAGTCTAGTGGCGTGTTCGGACATTGCGCAGCGGTCGTAAAAAATACGCGTCGATGGGACAGCGCAAATTTTGATTTACGCACGCGGTCGGCACACACAGTCCCAGGATACACGCACCGCGTGCTCCGACCGGGATCTCCTCTTGCAGCTTTTTTCACGGGGGAGCTGGGTCTACGAGGCAGCAAAGAACAGGAGCATATATAACGGCGATTTGTCATCGTACCGAGATTTCGCGATTTAAGGACCCACCAATTGACCCCATGCGTTCCTCGCTCTGGAGAAAGAGAGATTTAGGGGCGAGCGCTGCGACGTTAAGCGGCTAACCGCGTGGAATACCGATCGCGGCCGCTCACGTCCTGCCACATAGCCTGTCGGCCCTCAAGGATTCCTAATTAACCGTCCCGTTGCACCTTTTGCAGCGCTTCAGCTCCCTCCCAATGGGTCGTCAGATTCTGACCACCCGCGAACGAACCGGCCCCGGAATCGTCCGAGGTTCGTTCATCGTTGCGTACGGGGGTTTTTCTGTGTTCTCGATGACGTATAGCGAAGATACGATGTACAAATGTTGTTCATAAGTACTGGGACACTTGTTATGTTCGTGCAGAATGTACTTACTAGGGTAAATCGGGGAGTGGAGGATTACTTTTTTTAAAGGTAGAATTTCGTTTATGATTAGTTGAATGAAAAACAGAGAGTTTTGTTACACACTAGCGACGGATGACGCATATACATATGCGTTGTTGAGGTTTTTGACTCGAGTCCGCGGAAATACGTCATTGAGATTTTCACATATCTGTCTTGAAAGATATTTTTAAAACCCTATAAATGGTTCAATTTTTCTTCGGAAATATCATGACAGATGTTTGACGAATTAAAACAATTGTGTATGTTTTACGAAAAAGTAATTTACCACTTTCATTCGAATTTCTTTGAAGAATATTAATTGGTTAAAAAGTTATGATTGAAAGAAAAGACGCGAAATGAACTTCTCAAATGAATGTTCAATAACACAGAAATTATAATACTTTTTTCAAAAATGTAACAGTGGTCCAACTAACCCATACACTGTGGGTTAGTTGAACGAAAACGCAGGAAAAATAAAAAAAGCTTCCATCTTATTCGTCCTGTGAAATTATTATATATAAATTATGTATAAAAATTTTCTCGTAGGTACTTCCTTACTTAAAATTTACTATTTTTTCCATTCTTCAAAATATTTTTATATATTTGGAATTCGATTTGTTTTTTACCTTTTAAGCAAAGTTAGAAGGTTCTATGTGCTTTGCATGGATCTAGAAATACTTTAATTTATTTGTCCTAACTGCTTTTCAAATGGTTTTTCAAGTTTGTAATGTCCCATCTATCATTTCCTAACTTAGATAGTCCTAAGTTAACATTTGAAATGCAAATAGAAAAATACAAAATTATTTCTTATTTCTTATTTTTCAAATTTGTTTTTATCTGAAGCATTTAATTAATTGCTACGTTAATAGTGCATTTTCTGCTGATACACATATTCCAAAAAATTATATAGGCTGTTACAAAGTTATGACTAAATTTTTGAAACTTAATAAAGAAAAATAAGGACGGCACAAAGAAAATGATAAAACCTCATTTTTCTTGGATATTTCGGAATGTTAGTTAGGACAATTGAGCTAAGGAAGGCA